AGGTCGTTTATACAAAAACAAAAACAAAAGCAAAGTAGAAGGACCAAAGTGCATTAGTCCTCAAGAAACCCCAACACTACAACAGAAAGGACGCAACGAACAAACGACTAGGAAACAACAAAGCGAAAAGACTTAAAATCGGACAAAGGGCCTCAGCATAACAATTGACGGGACGCGCAGACATCAAATTTGTAAAAACTTTCTTTGTTCTTAATCTATTGTGAGGGATGGCTTATTTACCGCATTCCCATGTTTCATTATTGTTATAGATTCTTTTATCAAACGCTTCCGATCATACTTTTCCGATAAGATGACTATTGTTGAGTCCCAGTTGGGCAGACAATTATTGCATTCAACTACATGTTTTGATACTTCCGAATAAGAATCTTTGTTTTTGACACAACGTTTGTGTTCGGTGAGACGATCGTTTATACAGCGCTTGGTTTGTCCTATGTAGCATACTCCGCAATTAAACGGGATCCTGTATACTACTCCCGACACGCAAATGACCTCTTTTTCCTTGTGTTTTTTAGTGCACCCTGCTCTGGCGGAAGCAAACGGAGTCAAAGGATTCAATTTGTAATCATTGCTGAAAACCGTGCTAATACCATACTTATTACCAATAGATTTAAGATTATGCGAAATCTGGTGAAAAAACGGAATAACTACACGCTTTGTGGGTTGAAGAACACTTTGGCACTTTTTCTTGACGGAGATGAGAAACAACAACTGATTGAACACATAATCTTGAGGGTACCCAGCGGCTTTAAAACCCTACGTTGCTCAGATGACTTAGTGACAGAATTGGAGCCTTTTCATAGTAAGCGCTGCACTCTTTTCTCGATGGATATTAAAGACTTATATTATTCGCTAGAACCTAAGATGTTACTTGAACGCGTAGGTCAGTTTTTTGAAAACAATCTTGTTATATTCCAGTCACATTCTGGGATAGGGGTAGCCGACTTCCTTAGGATTCTTGAACTATATTTAAAAGCAACTGTTGTTCAACACAATAATGGAGATTTCATTCAGAAACGTGGAATATGCATAGGTTCGGCAGTTGCTCCAATTTTGTAAGAGATTTATTTAAGCTATCTAGATCTCAAGCTCCATGATATCGTCCGGAACCGTTCTCCTAGCGACGTTCTTGTAAGGCGGTACGTCGACGACCTTTTGATATGCAGTACCGATCCTAATTTAGCGTCATCACTTGAAAACGCTGCCCTTAACAGTTCTCCAGAATTAAAGTTTTCTGTAGATAGACCCGAGGGGGGTATCTTACAATTTTTAGATCTACAGCTGAAACATCCATCCAATTCGTGCTGGGAATACGGCAAGCCAAATGCAAAACCTCTCCTTCCGTTTCACAGTTGTCACTCAAAACATGTAAAGGCTGGTATAGTACGCAATTTGGTCAACAGTGCTCTGAAAAAATTTTGTTCCCACTTTATTGAGTCTGCTCTCAAGCGCCTGTTTGACCGTTTTAAAGCCGCTGGGTACCCTCAAGATTATGTGTTCAATCAGTTGTTGTTTCTCATCTCTGTCAAGAAAAAGTGCCAAAGTGTTCTTCAACCCACAAAGCGTGTAGTTCTTCCGTTTTTTCACCCGATTTCGCATAATCTTAAATCTATTGGTAATAAGTATGGTATTAGCACGGTTTTCAGCAATGATTACAAACTGAATCGTTTGACTCCGTTTGCTTCCGCCTGAGCAGGGTGCACTAAAAAAAAACAAGGAAAAAGAGGTCAGTTGCATGTCGGGAGTAGTATACAGGATCCCGTTTGATTGCGGATTATGCTACATAGGACAAACCAAGCGCTGTATAAACGATCGTCTCACCGAACACAAACGTTGTGTCAAAAACAAAGATCCTTATTCGAAAGTATCAAAACATGTAGTTGAATGCAATAATTGTCTGCCCAACTGGGACTCAACAACAGTCATCTTATCAGAAAAGGATGATCGGAAGCGTTTGATAAAAGAATCTATAACAATAATGAATCATGGGAATGCGGTAAATAAGCCATCCCTCACAATAGGTAAAGAACAAAGAAAGTTTTTACAAATTTGATGTCTGCGCGTCCTGTCAATTGTTATGTTGAGGCCCTTTGTCCGATTTTAAGTCTTTTCGCTTTGTTGTTTCCTAGTCGTTTGTTCGTTGCGTCCTTCCTGTTGTAGTGTTGGGGTTTCTTGAGGACTAATGCACTTTGGTCCTTCTACTTTGCTTTTGTTTTTGTTTTTGTATAAACGACCTGTTGTAGTGTTGGGGTCTCCTGGGGACTAATCCAGTTTAGTCCTTCTACTTAGTTTTTGTTTTTGTATAAACTTCTGTTCTATTGTAATGCTTGTTTTTTGTTGTACTGCTTGTGGCACGGGTTTTCCCAATTCTCCCTTTTTTCTTTCGTCTCTTTTGTTTTGTGAAGGTTTCTCCCTCTTTCCTTCGTCTCTATTGATTTGTGTAGGATTTGACGCCTATATAAGCACCCTTCGTTGTCAAATAAAATTCAGCTGTGTTTGAGACTTTGTGTTTGTCCGTCCCTTTTTGTCCCAGTCTCGGGGTTTTTGTCGAAATGGATAAGTGGCATTTGAAGTTCTCAGTGCACGTATGAACACTCTATTCAGGGCTTATCTCAAGCGACTTACAAAGTTTGTCTTTCGCAGGGCCGTCCAACTTATCTTCCACAAAATCCAAGTTAGCATGCTGTGTCTCTGGATAAGCACTGCCGTTTCCAACCTTACAATCGCGTTCGGAATAACTCCGTACTTCTCGGTACTGTACAGCGTATTGCCAAGAGCGTCGCTAGTTACAATTCCTTGCAGCAGCTTTGCAGCAGCACTTGTCAGCATTAATTGCTTCACAAATTTTGCCAACTTTCTGCAGTTTTGTGCGTAGCGCACATCGCCGGTCTTGGAAATGTTTCTCATCAGGTCACTACAGTTTGTGAGCCCTATTTTTGTCAGACGCAAACAAACTTACCGTTGGGTGCATCTCTAGAATCTGCCTGATCGGTCACGCGATGCACAGATTAAGAAGTGACAAGCTTTGGGTTAACAGACCTGCATTTGCGACTCGCGAACACGGCTTTTATATACGAAGCTTGGTCAATTGTCCAACAATCAGTCTTCCATACAGGACCCCTTCGATATGCCCCATGTTCCACGGTAACCGTACAAAAGCTCACCGGACAAAAGCTCACCCGTTTTTTCACTGACGCGGACAAAAGCTCACCTCTTTTTTTTTTTGTTGTTTTGTTTGCTACCCCGGGTGAAACTCTGGTTGGGATAAAGTACGGACGCGATGGACATTCCACCATTTTTATGAGAACTGGCATCCCATCCCATGCAAAGGTGTCGACAGATAAGCCATTACAGGCAGAGAAGCAACGATTTGGGACCAACATTTAGGTCACTGAAACTGAATGGAGCTGATAAGATCAAGCTTGCTTGACTCAAGGTATGTCGCAGCACCCGTGTGCCACGCCCAAGAAACTTCGTGAACCGAAGTTTTTGAACCCGAAGAGTGACCGAAGAAACGAAGTCACCCTTTCTTGACCTCGCTTTTTCATTGCGCTTATGTCACGCTAAACGCGCACATAAAGATTAGGCACAATGTCTCTTCATTGCGAATGCATGGGTCTTCTTTAATATAATTTATCGTTTTATTTTAGTGTCGTACGCATGCACCTAGGTTGTCCGCACACGTGTTAAGACCAACATGAAATTTTCTCCTGGTGAGCTTTTGTCCGGGTCTGTGAAAAAATGGGTGAGCTTTTGTCCGGTGAGCTTTTGTCCGGTGAGCTTTTGTCCGAGGTTCTGTTCCACAGGGGCGCGCATTATATGAAGGCAGATACTCGTATGAGCCTGAACATGCGATGGCGAAAGAACGCCTTGCTCGATCCTTGTTGATACAAAGCTATTTACGAAGGATGCAACGCACATGGTGTAGAGGCGTGTAAGTTAAACAACAAACCGCTTAATAAAACATCGGGACAATCGCGACCATGTGTAATGTTTGGGAACGCTCAAAATGAATTCAGTACAATTCGGGACAACAGAGTAGAAAAAAGCCTGGTGAAATTGCTTAGTAGAGGCGTACTGGTAGCTGGCGGTATTATCGGGACATTTTTCAATACTTGTTGAACTGGCCAGCTGAGCACAATCGACCCAAACCACACGCACACACAAATTAATACACTCACACAGCTGGAGAATGTGTATTTATAAGTTTTCTTGTCTATTCAGTTTAGCTGGTCATTTCCACAATATAGAAACAACTTATCCAGCTTAAGTCCTTAATATTTTTAGAAACCGGAACATGTCCTAAAACTTCCAACTGTAATAATGAAAGGGAACCTGGCCTATTTAGGCAGGTCCCTTTTCTCGCGAGTTTACACCTGAAAATCGTTTGCTTAATTTGTGTTCTTAAGATATGCATTCTGAACATGAATACCTGATATCATTTAGTCGTTTCGTGTTCATTTTATGATATGGTAAAACTGAAGCATTTTTCTTATGAAAGTCTGCTATCGCGACCACTTTTCGCTCTTGCAATTCTGTTAAAAGTACCAATCAAACACTTTGTTTTGGAGGAAGGGAAATGAGGACTGTTGTAGTTACTTTTCATTACATGTAGTTCAGCGGTTAGTTGTTTAATGCCGCTGTTTATGTTTATACAAATATATATATATCTATATTTTTTGCAACAGTGAGCTATGTTAGAGGCATATAGTTTTATTTATTTAGAGCGTTTGAGAGCACTCTTATCGAGAGTTTCAAAAGAACTCAAAAGACTGTACCGCTAAAAATGACTGTTTATATCTGTCTTATATAGAAACTCTGACAATTGTTGGTGACGTTATTATGATAAAAAAGCAGTGGCGCAGTTTCTGTCAGCACGAATTGTAAGTATGTATATATATATATATATATATATATATATATATATATATATATATATATATATATATATATATATATATATATATATATTAAAGAATTAGAGTTCTGCAGCTCACGGACCAAATATTTAAATGTGCAAAAAATATATTTTCATCGGGGAGCGTCAACATTAATTTCCTCGCGCAGTAATCAAGTTGCCTAAATAAAGCTCGGAAAAAGATGTAACACCAAAAGCACCAAAACTAATCTGTCCCTTCGAATCAATTGAAGGTAGCTTAGGGATGTCATAAGAAGGTTAGTGGCGACGGCGATGCAAGTTTTTCGCTTGCTATATGCACACTCAGCGACACGGTTAGTGCGAACACGGACATTTTTAATATGTTATTTTGAAAGGACATTGTCGAGCACCAAATTTGACCGCTTGGGTTAGTCCAGTAAGTCAGTACTTTCCACCGCCGCTGTAGTTTTGACAGCAACCTTTAAGCCGCAGTTACACTACTCGCACAGTGTAAAAAAAAGAGAGACACTTTGCTCATTGCAGACATGATGATAGAATTATGTGAGGACATGCCTCAAGGATATGTTTGCTTGACACATATATGTGTGCTTTGAACATGTCCGCAGGCAGCTTTTGCACGACCAATGCAAAAGGACCGTCATAAACAAAATAAACACATACAGACACATGCCTCAGACGTGTTTCCAGACTGTCTTTTGCGTGATGTATGAGCACTGTGCCTGGGGTTCTAGATTTTATTATAAGAAGTGGAAAATCCGCTGATCGCTTGTTCGCGTTAACGAGGTCGAGCAGTGTACATGGTTTAGACGCTCCGAAAATCCGCGAGGGCGGTGGTTTTTGAGATGGAGGCTTCATAGCGCAGTGGCAATAAAGTGAAAAAGGATGGAGAAGAAATGTAGTAGTGATAAAAGGGATATTAAGCTTTTATTCTCAGGTAAGGGGCACCCGTTTTTATTTATTTATTTTCGATTATGAGGCGGCGACTCATTAGAACACAAAAGGAAGGAGCAAAATCGGTCAAGTCCTCGCTCAGAGTTAACTTTTGGTTTGTCGCCCTGGATTAATCGCCTCGCTCTTTGCCCCTCACGTATGGTTTAAAGCAAAACTTTTAAATCAACCCCTGGCGCGTAAATTGCGGTACGTTTTACAGGCACCGTTTTGCACTCCGGCTTATTGCATTTAGCGTCCCAAAACCGAGTTCGAAAGTGCAGTTTGTTGATGATGCTCCGGAGTGAGATTTTTAAGAATATATTGTTTTCCGGTCAGATTAATTGATGTAAAAAGCGCGACACCGTTAACGCGAAAAAAAAATCGATGTCCTTTTTTTATACTAAAGACTATCATTAACGAAAAAACATGAAGTTCGCGCTAAGATTGTCGCTCAGGTTATTTAGGCAACCCTCTTTGGGGGGGGGGGGGGGGGGGGGGGGGGGGAATCAAACGCATTTAACACTTTGATTAAGACAATGAAATTCAAATGATGCTCTGCGTTGAAAGCGAGATAACTAGCCCACCAACTGAGAAACAAAGATTGGGAACGTGACATGGCGCTCATCCTCCAAAGTTCGTTCTAACCGCGATGCCTGGAACACGTCCTCGAATGGTGTGTTCACCGTCCTTTATCCTGTCGATGCAGCGTAAGTGGTTCCGAAGTGGCAACAAATTGCCCCGCAGCTAGGAACTGGCGTGTCATGCTGTCGAATGACGTGATCCTGGCGGTTGGTTGTAAAAGTTCCGTCAAAATATAGAACCTAACGCAAGGGTTGCCGTCGTCGCGGCGTCCCAACTCGTGTCTGCTGTGGTTTCCATCGGCTGTCTAGCCGCAGCTCGGGCGACCTGCCGCAGAACGTGCGCTCGCTTATCGGATCCACCTCCGATGCTGTGCCACTGCAAGCATCGCGACGAGCAGCAGCGTGACACTTTCATGACGTCATCAGGGGGAAACAGAAAGACCACACTTGAGGACGTGGTAAACACACCAGTCGGAGAGGCACTGCAGGCACCATTGTTTGAACTAAACGTCCCCGATGATTCACAACGTCTTGTACTATCGTGATCCTTTGTGTACAGTGTTTTCTCCGACGACGGCAGAGTCCACTTCGAGAGGCGGATTTCCGTTCCTCTGATTTCCGAAGAAGGCGCTGATGACGTCCACCCCGCAGCCGACGGTTCGCGTGACTTCTTCCACGGTTCCCAGCAGAGGATTCACTTCTGTCAGGTCTAGGACCCTGAGCTGTCCTGCACGTTGAACGAAAAAGCGTAATCTCGCATAGAGACGTTTGCAACGAGACACAACTTGAAATAAAGGAAGAAATCACGACGCCTACAGAGCTTGTTTTGTTCTTAAATTATGTTATGCTCTTTTTATGCGTTACTGTCTTCGGGATATGTTTGATGAACCGTGTTCAAGCAGTAGCCTTTGCGGCAGTTTCTCTATGTAATAAAGACACCAATGAAGCTCCTGGTAAGTTTCCTGCTCCTCCCAAATTTTTTAACGATGATGAGATATTTTAGTTCGATTTTATGGACCATCGGGGCCCTGCGTTGACTAAAGGGTGTCCTGACAAATCAGCTACAAGGTGCATGACGGTATAGAAGAAACGGAAAACAATCGGATATAATCTTTCTTCTTCTCTTCAGTCTTTCCACTGAGCTAGAATAAAATTACTACGCTTCAAAACATGATATGTAATACGAATTGTAGACAAAGTGTGACCCACGATCACACTTCAACAACAAATGCGACGTACTAGTTTACTTCAAAATCCCAGCATGTTTATGAACAACATATAGTACTTCCACCGAAGTGAGAAAAATTGCAATTACTGTGTTTGAAAATGTAATTACTTATAGATAATAATAAACAAATGGTAATCTATCCCTCAAAAACTCACTTTTTTTCTTTTTTTTTTTTGCAGATAGCGAGTGTTAGGTGCGCGTATATTGGTGCTTCGGGATGAAGATCGAAAACATAAAACCTCAGTATTCTTTTGGGTGTAAATAACGTCACTCCAAACAATCTCACCTGATTGGTGTACCTCTTCGGCAATCACGAAGGCTTCTCTCATTGTAAGGCCCCCGATAACTGAAATATTTTATTCAGAGTGAACGCGACGCAATCTTACTCTCCTGTCACAATGCAAATAACGTCAGTTATAAAAGACGGCGCGCCACTGTCTTAGCGTCTTTAGAAAGTTATATCTGTACTCGGGCGTGAAGAGAAGAATGCCAGTGGCACATCTCTGATCGGCGCTCAAGATGTGCAAGCGCACAGGTACCAAAAGCTTTTCGATCACTGACACAGAAAAACGTCCCATGGCATGACAGAGATGCTGCAGAGACATAATATTGTGAAAAGAAACAAGGGCAGAACAGAAAAGGAACAACAGGAAAACTAATACCCGTGCTACACGGGCAACTCGAATGACATTTACAACAAATGACATTTATGTGATCGGCGAATCAGCTCGCAATCTGTCGCGCGTGGCACACGCTACGCCCGGTTGGCCGTCCGCTCAAATGTCTTTCGATGTAAACGGCATTCGAGTTGCCCGTGTTGCATGGGTATAAGTATGGTAAGATGGCTAGTTGAGCTATTTCGTTCTCGTTCATCTTTTACGTACCGTTATTTTCCGAACCTTAGTCCATGGAATATACATTGTTAAAATTTGACTTGCTACGGGGTGCAAGGAGGTGCGGATAATACGAGGATTTTGTTTTCTAGATGTCTCATGATGGCGTGACGTGACGAATTTTGTGAATGACGGCGTGTATTAGTGATGATTCATGCACAAAAACATTTTTTTTAACAAAGTAAGCCATTTGTCAAGACGCGCTTCGTATGAGACGTTTCTCGTGCGGACTATAACCTGAATGTGGACAGTGCCCAAGCAGCACGGATTTTGGCCAAGCAATGGCCAATGTCCGGCGATGGTCCTTTGGCCAGTGGCCAGAGAGTGGCCATTCATTGGCCAATGCTTGGCCGATGGCCGATGGCCGATGGCCAGTGGCCATTGGCCAGTGCCCAGATAAAGGCCAGACACCGGCCAGTCTCTGGCCACTCTCTGGCCTCTTGGCCAAGGACCATTGCCAGCCATTGGCCGACGACTGGCCAACTCTGTGCTGCTTGGGTGAACGTATGGGCTATCTAAGGAAAAACTTTTTTCTTTCCCTCAAAATTTATTTCTGCTGTGTATACGCCGGGAGCAGACTATGCCTTGGAAAACATAACACTAAGCAACAAAATAAAAAAAAACGCGGAAAACGTTAGGGTGAATTCTCATGGTGCTTTCAACGCGCTCTAACGCGCTCAGTCGAGAGCGCGCCAGATCGGATGATGGAAAAAGAGCGCGGCGACGTGATCACGAGGTCCCTTCCAAGGTCCTTCCGAGAGCGCTTCCTGGGCTGCCAGGGAGCGCTCTTGGAGGAAGGGAAGCCCTCGGAATAGACCACGCGATCACGTCGCCGCCTTCTTTTTCCACCTACCCGATCTGGCGCGCTCTCGAAAGAGTACGCTAGAGCGCGCTAAAAGCCCTACGCAAATTTACCCTTAAAAGACACGTTTTGACAGCCAGGCAACCTCGTCCGGTCGCTTCGCTCTTCACTCTGAATGCAGTGAATGCAGCTCGAAATTTGAAAACACCAACGTAATGGGCAATTAAAAATAGCAGCAGATATACACGTGTAGCACACCTGGTGAAATAGTATGGCAGTGATTCCTGCGTCCGCGCCCCTCACTCTCATCAATCACTAGCCAAAGATTTTATTAAAAAAAATTTCGTCTTTCCTAGATATCGGCAGGTTACCAGGGCCGGTTTGCTCATCTTGCAACCGCGGCCGCGGCTGTGGCCAAGAGGGATTTTTCTGTCACGTGACCAGCTCCATGGGGACAAGAAAGTACCTAGCGTCCCTGCATAATGGCGGAGAAATCCATATCGCTTCAAGCACAAAAGCCTAATTTCGCTCGTAGAAACTGACTGCAGGGACTTTTAACCGGAGTCCAATTGACCGCCCCTTTATACTGTAAGAGCGGCAGGTAAGGTTACGGTTAGGGAGGGTAAATATGAGCCTAAATAAAGAAAAAAAAAACACGAGATAAAAGCGGCGGCATTATATTTATCTGCTAAAGTTGAGGCTTGGGCGAGTTGGTACATACTTCGGAATTAAAAACAGCGCGAAAAGACGCGGACCAGACAAAGAAGTGACACGGACGTAGCGACGTAGCGCTTTATGCAGCGCAACGTCCTTGTCACTTCTTTGTCTGGTCTTCGTCTTTTCGCGCTGTTTTTAATTCCGAAATATTTATCTACCTCCGCGAGCGCCGGCGGCTCTTGCTTCTGCTGTGGTCGACACCCGCCCAAGTACTGGCAAGTACCCTCCCAAGTATTGGCTTTTTGCCGAAATCCTGGACACAATCCAAGATGTTTTAGTTGTACTAGGGCTTTATAGCTTATGGAAGACGCGAAAAGTCGATACCGAAGCGGGAGCTGTAAAACCCTGCTGGGTAAATTTTAAACACATAGCAATTCAAGTTGGCCAGAGCATACTTGCATACCAAGAGAACGATAAATGGAAAGAAATGGTTAAAAACCTCAGTCAGTCGCCAGATATTATATAACAGACAGCTACTCGTGGAGAACATATTAGCGTAGCAAGATGTCTCCCTTGCTATGGTCACGCACGTGCCGTACCACCTTAGTTAATTTACGTGTCGCTTGCTTAAAGGTTTTTGCGTCATTGACAAAAGTCATCACCTGTATATATTGTACATAATATGTACAAAATTGTACAGTGTTGATATTGTGTAAATAGATGTAGATAAATGTTTAAAAAAAAATCTGTTGTGGTCGAGAGGGTAGAGCGCCAGTACTTGTCGTCGCGGTGTGAAAGTTCCAGGTTCAAATCGCGCTAGGCACTCCTTTTTTGTGTGTATTTTGCGCGTGTCTCACTTTATAACTGTGATCCTTTTTGCGAATCACTACCGCGCCTTACACGGTTTTTACTGTTAGTCCCACCTGTTCAATCGAAACACCAGGCAAAAAAAAAAAAAAGAGAGATAAAGGCAAGTTAACGCGCTAATACAATCGTTTCGTAATGTTCATTAAAAGGAAACCGAGGTAACAGCACCGGTATGGCTTTCACGCAAACGGAGCCGAAACAACCATCCTTTCCCCAGCCACTATAATTTTATCTGTCTTTAATTATACAATGCTCTTGCTACGACTCCTGTCAATAACAGGAGACGCCTATTTAAAACTATTAAAAACTGCAGTTGTGACAATTAAAAGAAAAAAAAAAGAAACTTGCACGAAATAAGCGGAAAAAAAAAAAGACTAGCAGCTGTGGATGCATTTATTGAGCGAAATCCTACAGGCAAAGCAGCAAGTCAAACGTCTGAGTAGTATAACCGAAATTAAAGATATCATACTTTTACTTGCATGGAATGTAATAAAAGGTATATTTTTACTTTTTACATTTTGCTTTGGCAATCGTTTTGTAATATTAAGAAATTACTTGTTGAATTTTAGTTAGAATAGGAGACAATCACAACCGAATGCAAAAATGAATCAGGCGTCGACATCGCAAACCCTCTCTTTAACGCAAACACCTAAAATGACTTTGGATCAACAAATGGAATTAATTAGAACAGTTGGAAAACGGAAACAACAAATTCTAGAGAAATTCAGCAGCACAGTTACCTGGCGAACGAAGAGAGCATGGGGAGATATTGTCAACTTTCCGCGGAGTGTACGGCAGATGCAGGAGGCGTGGCGGAAGTTGGTAAAGGAAGCCAGAGACATGTATGCGCTCTTCCGAATTCATGAACAACGAACAGGTGAGTCAGAACTCCCCGCCGAATGATTCTATAGAGATCATAGGGCCTTGTCTACAGTCCTAGTGGGAGTGCAGTCAAATAGAAAAAAAAAATTACACCATCTTCCCGGGGGGAACCATGGGGTGATGCGGAGCATCGTTCCATCACACTTCATCGGAAGAACGGAGTGGAGTCAACAGCGGTGAACTGAACGCGCGCAGAAATTGCGTTTGCTCTTTATGTTTATACAGCCTTGATGGAGATGCGCCTCAACGGGTAATCGGTCTCTTAGCTGTAGATGAGAAATTTAGCCAGTGCGGTACAACCGCTAACCCGGGATTCCTAACGTGCATCACGCAGTAGAGATCACACGAACGCGTGCCGGTACGAAACTCATCCAGATCGAAACGGGCCGGGGCGGCGGGGATCGAACCCAGGAGGTTCCCAGCGCAAGCTTTCGCTCCACGCTCCGAGCTGAGACGCGTGAGCCCACTCGGCCACTTCCTCCCCTGAACGCGCGCAGCGCGCTACCGCTGCTTATATTCAAACTTAGAGGAGAAGAAACTAGAGGAGGAGAGTTGCGCATGCGCGCGCGGTGTGAGTAGAAGCGAACGCACGCGAAGTGCAGGCGGCTGGTAGAGAGAGAGAGCGGAGAGAGTAACGCGCAGCTGTTGTAGAGAGGGAAGAAGGAGAGTTGCGCATGCGTAGTGTGAGTGCGGACTACGACGCTGCGGGACATAGACCCGAGCAAAAAATGCTCCGCATCCAAAAAAAAAAAAGAAAAAAAAAGAAAGGGTTTCTGGCGCGATTTGAACCCGGGACTTCCACGCCGTGACGTCAAGTACCGGCGCTCTAACCTCTCGATCACAGCAGAAGGCGCGAGCCGGCGGCGCTCGCGGAGGTAGATAAATATACTGCCACCGCTTTTATCTCGCGTGGTTTCTTTTCTTTATTTGTGCTCATATTTACCCTCCCTAACCGTAACTTTACCTGCCGCTCCTACAGTATAAAGGGGCGGTCAATTGGACTCCAGTTGAAAGTCTCTGCAGTCAGTTTCAGCGGGGCAAAATTAGGTTTTTGTGTTTGAAACGATACAGATTTCTCCGCCATTATAGGCAGGGACGCTACGTACTTCCTTGACCCCATGGAGCAACGTGACAGAAAGATCCCTCTTGGCCGCAGCCGCAGCCGCAGCAGCAGCCGCGTCCACAAGATGAGCAAACCGGCCCTGGGGAGCCCAGGAAGGCAAGGGTATCCTGTCAATAAAAATAAATTACGTCACATGCTTTACTCAGCTCCGCATATCACGTACGGAAGAAAGTTTGGCGGCGCATCACTTCGCGTGATTGGTCGGTGAATGCACATACTATAAGCACTATGACGATACACTTTTTATGGTGCTTGATTGGTGCCTTCAAATCGTACGTAGCCTGGGCTCCAGTCTGACTTAAACGGATCACACAAATATTTCTAAAACTCTCCAGAAATGAAAACTTCAGCTTTTTATTCGAGTCAATTCGACGTTTTCATTGCCGACGTGATATATTAAAAAGATCCATATCGTCTCAGTAGGCTTACCTGAAGTTCCAGTGCTCGGAGCGATGAGTTTATCGATGGAATCAATGTCGAAGCTTACGTGTAGAGATTTTGTTCCACTAAAGAAAAAAAGAAAAAGCACATCAGACTTCGCAGTATTGTACACGGTACTGCAATAGCGAATTGTAATACGAATAAACATCACGGGCACTCGCGGGGACCGCATCTCGCGAAGTCGAGGAAGTTTGGCTTTTTAGTGTATGGCTCTGATATATTAGAGCGCAGCTCTTAGGCGCTCGTTTCCGGCTTGTGCGGCATCGCCGTCGCCGTCGGCGGAACCGTGAGGTCACGTGACCCCCCCCCCCCCCCCTCGCCCCCCCGGGGTCAAGTGACCCCTTGAGGTTACGTGACCCTCCTCCCTCGAGGTCACGCGACCCCCCCTGAAGTCACACGAACCCCCCCCCTCCCCTGACGTCACGTGACCTCAAGGAGTCACCTATCGCTGAGTACGCTTCCATCCTCCTCCTCAAGAGCTGCGCTCTAACCGGCGTTACAGGGAATTGTAAACGGCTTTTATTTTTTATATGCGTTTTCCCAATAAAATTATTTAGAACGAACTATGTACGAAGATGCTACACCATTCTACGACACGCAGCAGTGAGAAAGTAAATGTGTAATTACTTTCAAAACCACTCTTAGAGCGACGTGTAATATTGTGATGCATTTCAACGTGAACAGATCGAATAGTAGGCGTGTCAGTTTCGCCAGTCAAATTGATCGTGCCGAATGTTCAATTGACACGCTGGAGGTTCCGCGTAATCTACAAAGGCCGCATTAAAAAAAAGGACCCCAATTTATGTTTATTTATTCCAGATAGTTCCTTCGTTACAGATAGCGTTCCGTTTTTTCGCGGTTTTATTTGTCTCCGCATTCGGGGGTATTTCTTATGTGTGTATTTCTAATCGCAGACACGGTGTTTTTTTTTTGTTTTGTTTTTGTTTTTTTGTCGGGCAAAATATTGGGGAATAGGGGGGCTTTGGTTGAAAAATGTCTGACACGGGCATGGGATTCCCCAGACTGCAGAAAACATATGGGTAAACCGAACACTCGAGAAACGTCTCTGTGTCGAGATGAGAAGGAAACGAGATAAGGTTATTAGTTCAAAAATAAAGGAGCAACGTCGCCAACAGTTCATTTCGGGCTGTGATGCGTTTTAACATAAAATGAAGCTGAAGATAATAATTACCTGCCGGCAAAGATTACTTCTTTTTTTTTTTTTCGCATTCAACTTTCGCCCCGATTCGGGATTTTTCGGGTGTTTTCTTTTTCCACAATGTTTCTACTACCGGTTGGGGGTTTAAGTGTTGAGGTTTACCGGTAGTTAATAGAAGCAGGACACACAATAGACCATTCTAATAACCGCCTTGTGTGCGCGGCCATCTCTGCCTACTGGTCTGAGGAACGCGTTCCGTGCATGCGCACTAACGGTCTTCCGCGAAATGTCTGATTTTGCGCCTGCGTCCATAGCTCAGTGACTCGGCATTTTCAGCCTTTGTGATAGCTGCTGGAAAGGTATATACTCGGTGACATGTTAAGAGTTCAGGGGAAGCTCCTCCTACCTCTTTCCACTCTAGCAGCGAGAGCGGTGGAGAGCATGTCGTCTCCTCTCCGACGTTCGCTCTGCTAAAATAGAAAGAGGGGGGAGGATCTTCCACCGAACTCTTAACCTGTCACCGAGTATAGTCATGATGCCTTTCACCAAACTCCAGCGTCTGGCCATTGCCCGTGTTTATACGCTTCAGTATTTGATCCAGAATAATTGCTAACACTTCAGCGGCCCCTTAGGCATTCGTGCGAGCAAAATTGTCAAATCCGTTTAGTGGCGCGCATCGTATGTATTGCTAACTTATGTAATATCTCACTGTAACGTTTAAATATTCTTAAGAATACGAAACGCGTCTGAATATCCAACGTGCCTGAACGTCCATTATTTACTATTCCTCCTCGTTGAAAATTCAGTCTTGTTGGACATTCAGATACGGAACCCCTGCTACACTATCTCGAAAATAAGAGACAGGCTGCTAATACCCCAGCCAAACGTCAAATTTAATCTCATTTCCACCAAATAACATCATGTTATCTGCTTATCAGCGCGTGCCGCACCTGGCGCAGCGCGGTGCACACGCGCCACGCTCGTAGTCAGGATTGCGGTATGATTCGCTGATCAGATATTTTCATTTGATGGATATTACACTGAATTCGCCATGCGCCAGCGGCTTAAGAATTTCGTCGCCTTTTCCTCTAAATGCTATAATGCAAGGAAAAATCGTCTAAATTTGTCTAAAATACATTAGACAGTTTTTATTTTAGGAAGTTAACAATTGCTTTGTTGTTCATCTCCCGGTTCAGTTAAGCGGGACTGTTGATGACAATTGATTTAATTTCACGTGGCGTCATGATATCACGTAACACCAGGCGTCGCGGTATGACGTGACCAGAGGTTACTTGACATCCAGTCAAGTGACATTACTTTTTTCGCCAAGTTTAGCGGGGAAATGGACGTCACGGTTTTAAGTGGGGCTCGCACGTGAAGTAAATTTTTCTGCCAAGTTTAGCGGGGAAATGTACAAACGAACGGCCGTAAAAATGCCTAAAAGTAGTGTATTGATTATTTGATTGTGTTTTTGTGGCGCCAAGGACAGACTATCACAGAAAAACTCTATGCATGATATGTGAATACGTATGGGCATGAAGTTGGAATATACAATCATAATCGGTGTGAAAGACCAATATCTCGTGAAAAGCTAGAACAAGAGCTATGTGGGATAAGTGGCTCGTCACTGACTAGGATTGTAAGGTGTAAGTGTGCATGCTCGTGACATATTTGAAAAAAAATGTTTGCGTCGGGCAAAGCAATTCGGTGAACATTCAAGCAATAAGTGTTGAACAGTCAATGGTTCATTGCAGTGCTCACAGTAGGAGCCTCTTCCCTGCGCAGAAGATGGCCGTGAGTGAGGTGCGTACGACCTATCCTCAGTCCGCACAAGACAACCTCATAAAAACGTTCACGGTGCCGTGCACAGTCCCACCCACCGAGCACTGGCTTTACTGTATGGAACTTGCTATTCATATTTTCTCTCCACTCTTTCTGCCAGTTTTGGGTGACACGTCGTTTTACGAGTCTAAGGTAAACCTCATAAAGGATATAATGCAAGTCCACTTCCCTCTCACCAGCAGAACTTGCTGCGCGGTCTGCTTTTTTATTTTCGGATGTACCAACGTGGCTGGGAACCAAACATAAAACTATTTCAATATTTTATTTTTGTTTTGTTTTTTCCGAAATCAAGATTTTTTTTTTTCTGCGGCTCTATGATAATTGGGTTTTTAGAACCTTTTAGTGATGCAAATGCTCCTAGCCTGGAACCTATGCTGGTGGCCTTGGTTCGAACTTTGTCGAACTTTTGTTTAGAAGTTCCAAGTTCGTCAAACTTTTTAACGCAGCAGGTTCGAAAGTTCGAAAATCGTCGAATTTCTTAGCGTAGTAAGTTCGAAAATCTCAAATTTTATAAGTGAGTCAGTGAAGACAACGGTGTGCATGCAGTATGTCTTCAGGACATGGTCAGTCGCAAGCCGTAAACTGCATAGTTCTTCCGTTAATATGTTGGCTGCGGATGTAATTCGTTGGGTACAACAAACAGAGGGTCCAACCATGCCGCATCCAACATATGCATCTGTCTTCGTACCATCTGTGCAGTATGAGCTGTGCACAATATATCTACTATGAAGTTAAAAAAATTATTGTCTCAAGCACTCTGGAGGAGTGTCTTTCTTATTGCATTTGGTTACTGAGAAGTCATAGGAAGTAAGGTTGTAATAACACGGGGCTGCGGTTTGTAGAATAGGGGTTATGGGCATTGCACTACTCTGTTCAATAAATTCTGCAGTGCATGCGTTTCTCAGACTGAGCAGAGATAGAACAGTGGGCTTGTTTTACAAAGCTGCATTTGCATCTTGTTTCTGCTACAGCATCTTGGGAAGCGTGTAGGGGCACTGAACGTATCCTGACTGAGTACATGAATCCTAACACATACCTTCGTCTCTCCAGCGACCATTCCTTTGGTTCTGCAAATACGATAGCAATAGGCGATGTGCGAAAGGCAGCAGTAGCTAAACGCAGCCTTTGGTGCTAGACAGGACCAAGAATTTTTAAAGCTGAAGGCCTCGCCGATCCATATACGATACACGTACTGCCATAATCCAAAAGCGAGCGAATCGCTGATCCATACATTCGTAGAAGGCAGAGCCGGGCAAAGCTCTGAGGTGTGTGAAAAAGCACTTTAGAAATGTCTAGTGTTTTTTCGCATATCCGCTTGAGTGCTAATATGAGATCGAAAAGACAAATTGGCTGTCAAAAATAAGCCCTAAGAATTTGTGTTCTGGTTTTGTTAGAATTTGGGTGGAGTGTATAGAAATTGGGGGGTCCGCTAAGGGTTGCGGTAGGCGAGAGAAGTAATCACACAGTTTTTTAGGAGAAAATTTGAACCCATTTTGATCCGCCTATGTTATTGAATTAATTACCGTTAGTTGAATCCTACGTTCACACAGAGCAGGGTTGCAAGATGAAACCGATATTTGGAGGGCATCAACACAAAGGGAATACTGAACAGACGATGGGATGACCCGGGATATCGAGTTTATTTTTACCATAAAAAAGTGGCACTCAAGACGCCTCCTTGAGGGACTCCGTTTTGCTGGCAGAACTCTTGAGAGTAAGCTTTGCCTAAATCGACAAGGAAAGTAAGAGTCGCCGGATAGCTCTCAATGATCGCTAACATCCTGCCTCGAATTCCATAACTATAAATGCGATTGAAAAGATAATGACTAAATCGATTCTAGAGGGATGAAGGTGTGTAACCATTTATAGTGTATTCTACCTGGTCCAGCAGCCTTACGCTTTACTTCTTGAAGTGCCCGTTTTAGCTCATTCAGTGTAAGGAGAGAGTTTTCAGCTTCCCGGGTGCCGCCGGAGGTTCGGACAGATTGTCGCTAGGCTTGAGATTATGTTTCAAAATATTCGTTGAAGAATACTGAGAACTCAATACACGCTGAAAGTGTTACCGAGCAATCTGCCTGCTTTTGAAGGCTCTCAGGGCGCAGTCCATTTGAAAAAAGAAGTGGTACTGAAAAAGTGCAGTAGTGCCCATTGACTTTATGAATTTTATTCCATACTTATATGTTGATGACAGTACCGTACATTGAAAAACAATATCCTTGAAAACTTGGCGCGTTGCGTGGCGGCGGATGTGACTTGTGCTAGCCTTCCTTATCTTGAAGCTGATTAGTTTGTTCACTGTCAGATAGCGCCTAAAAATGCCCCATGCTCCGTTCTGATATATCTCTGATTCTCTGCAGTCGGCATTCCATCATGGTTTAGGCCGACGAAATAAGTGAGGTTACATCATGGGGGTAGAAAACATTGCAGCATGAAGTATGTGACTGCTAAGCAGAATAATAACTTCGTCAACAGACAGTCCGCTAAATTATTTACAAGCAAGCTGCGTCGCCTGGCTGAAAAGAGACCAGTTTGCATCCTTGGACTTCCACCGGGGAGTTCGTGTGGGCAGTCTGACAGGTGGATTTACTCGTTTTCAATTCATAGGAAAATGATTACTCCCGTAGTGATGGTGATCGAGAGCCCAGAAGAGGAAAGGGAACAATCTGGGGTCGCTAAGGGAGAGATAGATGGACGTCAAGGGTCGAGTTGAGGGACTGAAGTATGTTGGTTCCATTTTGTTCAGCAAGCGTAAAACTGGGGAGGATAGAAACAGTTCTATCATTGAGCCACGTGTGTCACGTCTTTTACTATCCCACAAAGGGTTATAGGCACTAAAATCACCAACGATTAGGGCTGGTTGGGGACGTGGTCATGAAGAGATTCGAGCTCTTCGCGAGTTATAGGTTATAGCTTGTGTGAACGCAGAGAACAGATAGTTATCAATCGGTCAGACAGGACACGAACTGCAACAACCTCTATTGCTGTATTCGAAGGAACCTCGAAACGTGGATTAGACCTCTGGGAAACTATAGCTATACTACCAGAGGTGTGGGATAGAAAGAGACGATTTCTAAGAAAAACCTGAAAATGAATGAGGATTTTTGAATGACTATCGTTCAAATGTGTTTCTTGGAGACAAAAAGTTAATGGATCATGATGGTCTAACTGAGAGCATACATTGACATAGTTACGAAGAAACCCGCGGCACTTATTCAAGGAACACTTCTGCCATCATGCATGAGACAAGACGAAAAGCCTATGTCTAGACCTGAGAGCCAATTTTGATCCGTAGGAGATGTTTTTAGAGCATCCTTTGGCCTACTAGTGTCACCACCAGAAGACTCTGAATCTGTCATCATCGAACTTAGGCCAAGTCTCGTCCATAGGTTTTGCTGGTGCCACCATAAGCTCGCCCTTAGGGCCTGCGCTTTCGACGGCTGACCAGGAGTCCGAGGGTAGCCAGAGATGCGAAGGGGTAATCCCCGACCTTGAGGCGGCTCGGTTTTTGGAGGCGTAGGGGGTGCACACCCCTGCCTTTGGATGAATCCTAAAGAACAAAGATTCATCTCTGGCTCTGAGGCCGAAAAGGCTTGCGCCACTTTGGACGAGGTGGCGGAGGACTGGGAAGGACAGCGCAGGTCGTCTGTTGACAGCGCCGACCGCGCAAGTCACCTTCGCTGGACATCAGCAAACGAGCCCTTAGAGAGGAAACAGTATCGCTGTCTACCTTCCGGATACGAGATGTCGTCTTTGGCCGCCAGAGAAAAAATTTCCTTCTCTTGCTTGCAGAGGGGGCAGGAACGGGAATATAGTGGGTGAGCTTTTCGACAGTTCACATAAGAGATTGTCACTACCAGAGTTGTTGGTTCGGTCGGTGCTTGCACATTTAGCACAGGTGGCCTTTCCTCTGCCTGCAGGTGAGTGACTCATGCCCAAAGCGTTGGCAGAGGAAGAAACGCCTTGGTTAGGGGATGTAGGAACGGGTCTTGCAGTTCAGGTACCCGGCCTTGACCGCTGGTTGACAAGTTGAAGTTTAGAACAATGTGTTTCGTATCTCGTTCCTCACCACCGCGATGGAGGGTAATACGTCGTACAACAGGGACTTCTTGATCTATTAGTTCTCCGAGGATCTCGTCGATTGGAATTTCAAGAAGATCATCTTCGGAGATTACGCCCTGTGTACTGTTCAGTGAGTGGTGTTGAATCACGGTATTTTGTAGTTCCTTGCTCGATTGAGTTCAAGAGGTGCCATGCTCTGCTCTGCGGTGGTGACTTCCACAATGTGGTCACCAGATGGAAGTTTCTTTGCTATGAAGCATTTTAGGATGACAGTCTCTAGTTGCAACCAAGAACGGGAAAAGTTTCGCAAGTCCTTGGTCCTCAATTTCCGAGTGCAATAATATAAATTTGGGAAATAAATTTGGGAAATAAAATTGTATCTCGCAGGGTTGCGTTTGTTTTTGTCGTGTCTTCGTTCAGACCCCTTTTCGAGAACCGATCAGAAAAAGACTTAGCTTTGGTACTCACATAAATGAGAAAATATATTCGGCTCCTGCGGTGTGCCGCCCACCATCGAGCACAACTGAGGTAACAGTCGAGAGACCATAACGAACTGGGCTTTGGTGAAACTGCTGATCTGTTAGCACTTGCCCAGGTGCGATGCCGAAGTTGTGGTTATAGATTAGAATATCTATGGTTACACAAGGTTGGCCCTTGCCGCAAAAGAACGTGCAAAAGGAATAACATAAATAGGAGAGCAATAAATAAAGAAAGGATAGAAGTGAAAGATCAGAGGTGATAGTAGAACAAAGGCGACTGACTGGATCATCCTAGTCGGGCCTTACTAGGACACCCGTCTACGGGAAACGGGGGCCAAAGTGCTTTACTGCCTTGGCCATGGGAGCCCCGAAGCGTTCAAACCTACCCCGATCTCGACCCAACCACCAGGACGCCCTTTTCCCCGGACACGTGAGAGCCACGCACAGCCTAGCATGGGCGGGCGAACCCGCATGGCTCGGGGTCTGTGGTGACGCTACTAATCAAACATCTGCTCTCACAGGTGCCCCCTGCGGGGTAGGGGTTTCGTTAACTAGCATTTCATGCTTTAATATTGTCCTTATTTACTCTTTAATGGGTTCTGTATTTACTCTTGACACCTTTCTATCAACTGGTTTTATGCTTATGAATATTCCTTTTATAACGGGTGGTGGCTTGCGCCACCTATGTTAAACATTTTACATTGTTGTCAGACTTACGTGGGATTGATCTTCTTCAGCACGCGCTGTATGGTTTCCCTTATCCCTACGCGATCAATCTCGGCCATTCCAAACGTCGTTATGCCAAGGTGGTCGATGAAGTACCTAACACAAGACAAAGGTCACGTGCTATCAGGTGCAGAAAATGAACAAACTACAATTGTAGGCATATCTAGATATATGCACGCACTGAGTTTCTAATAGGCCAGTTTTACAGTTATATTCCCCGATATTGATGATTTTAACTCCTACGATTCAATCGTTTCATAGGTCTGAGTACGCTCTGTAATGACTTACCTCTCATATGAGTCTACATCTCTCAGCGCGATGAAGGCGAAGTTTTCTTTGTGGACGCTAGAAAAGAACAACATTCGCGTATTGTGAGTTTAACATTGCACGAGTTGATTATTATTAGTTTTTGGTATAGGTTCTTTTTTGTAGTGGTGCTTTTTTTGTTCAAGGTTATTCTTCCGGTGTTTTTATCCTAAGAATTTTATGCAAGCCGTTTCAGTACTTTTGTTGGTGTAATGTTTTGTTGTCCCGCTGTGCTCTTCTTTTTATATTGATTGTTTTGTTTGAGGATCTTTAGGACCGTAGTTTTTCACGATCCTCTGAGGTGCACCATGAGAGTTTTATTAACCATCACTCCTGTAACAAACAAAACTAAATTTAACAACAACAACAAAATAAAGAAATACATAAATGTTTGATCTCTAATTAGGGCCTGGTTGGACGTCCCCCTTTTTTTAATTTAGTCTTGCCCCAACCAGGAATGTCTCTGTCAAACATAAAGATTTCTTTTTCATTGTTTTAAACAACGATATTTAAGAACCTGAACCTCTGCAGGTATGGCGACCATGCTCGTCGCAGGTCCAATAGCAGGCAACAGGTCGGAGGTCGTAGTATTTTTATTGCATTTTAAGATAATATTAAACCAGACAGTAAACACGTCAGAATTACGGCTCCCTCAAAGCAGTCATTGATGAAGAAAAAATAAAACAATTAAAACAGGGACAACACAACCACATCTTTCAACTAGCAACAGACGAGTAAACATTCAAAAAAAAAAAAAAATTGGCTTGCTCTTTATGTTTATACAGCCTTGATGGAGATGCTTCAACAGCGAGCAGCCGACTATACCCAGTAGGAGTAGGGGAGAGAAGGGGGAGAGAAGGAAAGATAAGAAACGCGAAGTGCAAGTCAGGGTGGTAGGGTTATCTCGGATTTTAAAAATTCAACCTCAGTTTTCGTCAGAAGGAGGGAAGGGTTTGACACGTTGTTTTTTTGCTGTGGTCATGGCGAATGATTCTATGATTTCCCTGCCGAATCTGCTGTCATGCCCCCCCCCCCCCCCCAGGATTTTTTTGTCATCAAAAAGGGGATGACAACGCAAACACGAACGGGCATGTATGACTATGGGATGATAAGAATCTGGAGAGGCCTTAGAAACTTCGTTGTGATGTTCGCGGAGTCTGTGATTGGTGCATCTGCCGGTCTGTCCTATGTATTGATGGCCGCAGCTCAAGGGGATGAAGTAAACTTTTTTTCTCTTTGCATGGAATGAATTTCTCTTCGTGTTTGACAGTGCAGCCAATCGGAATCCGGGTGTTGTTCACTTGTTGACAGAGTTGTTTAAGACGCATGCGGCACGAGAAGACAACATTCGTGTCGAACTTTGAGGCAATGGATTTTATCCGGTGGGCTGAATTGTTTACGTAAGCAATGACGGCGAATCGGGCTTTCTTTTTTGTGGCTGATGACTGGCGATCAGGCCCGCGAATCATCCTTTCCATTACAGATCGGAGAAGGTCGACGGGAAACCCTGCCCTGACGAGCCTCATGTGCTGCAATTTGAAGCTGCCTTCTGAAAGATGACAGCAAGACTTCGTGAAGGATGAAGAAAATAACTATTTGATGATACCGTGTTTTACCGACTTCGAATAGGCGCGTTTCTTATCTTTCCTTCTCTCCCCCTTCTCTCCCCTACTCCTACTGGGTATAGTCGGCTGCTCGCTGTTTAAAGTTTACTCGTCTGTTGCTAGTTGAAAGATATGGTTGTGTTGTCCCTGTTTTAATTGTTTTATTCTTTCTGCATCCATGACTTAAACCGACACGCTCTTTTCCCAACCATATCTCAAAGCAGTTTCTTAAATGACAAAGTATGTTCGAATATGCAATGTTAAATAGCTAAGAGGCCGCAGTGCTCTACAAATGCGTTTTATGGGTTTTGTTTTTTGTTTGTTTGTTTTTAGTAGCTAAATATGCGTAGCTACATAAAGCAAAACACTGAAAGGCAAAATAAAAAATAGTTTTTGTTGGCGCGCAAGCCAAGCACTAAAGCATCTCTGAGCGCATGCCGAGGTTAGGAATTGAAGGTAAGATAAAGATCTTCTGTTTTTTTATAGGAAATCTAAGGACACCACAACCTGTAAAATGCGGTTGAGTCTTCACAAATGTGTTCAACTTCTAATAATCTAGGGCCACGAGTCCAAGAAAAACATCATCTCACATTACAAAAATGGCATTTTGACGACCTGGATTACATTTTGCACAAAAACCTAGTCTGTCTTTTTATTGCGACGGTTAAACGTAAGAAGGGCTGCTGAAACGATGTTGAAACAGCGTATCGGATAACGTAAATAGGAAGTTGCGCGGCCCAAATGCTTGGTCTCGCGCGCCTATACATTTTATTGACACGTTAAGACAAAGAAAAAAAATTCTCCGGCAGATAACGCCTCCCCTCTGCATAACTGAGATAAGCCGACGAGAGAACTTGATGACATAAGGAAGTACTTTATCGCATATCTGGGAAGAGGCTGCTTCTGTGGTTTCTGCGAGCTTATCACTGGCTACGATTGCTGCTGAAGTGTACTCAGAGACACACTTTTTTTTTCTTACAATGTAAATCAATATTATATCTCGGTCCTCCTTCTAGACAAAAGATAAGCGGTCTAGTTCATGATTTAATAAATAAGCTTGATAGATGTTCTGTGTCAAGAGTCAAGAGCTGATCACAGGCGATAAAGTGAACATAGAAAGTAAAACTTCGAGCAAAACAAAATTTCAAGACTGATTCTTGTCTTACTTATTTTTCCATGCATAAAATGTCTACAGTGTCAATATATAAAAAAAATATTTCCTAGAAACCTATTGGAGAGCAACCATCCGGGACCAGTGTCTCAGTCAAAGCGTGCAAATTGTCTGTAGCTTCTCTGCCGAAATTTGTGAAATCGTAATGCATGAACCGGCTAACGCTTAATTTCACCTTACGATAGTCCACAGAGGACGTTACGTACCATCTACGCATAAAGTATCTGCCTAGATAGCTCGCCAGAGAGGCGCATATCTTTGCATAAGCTTGACAATCCTAGGGTCTTAGCTTGGGCATAATACGGTTTTCCATTAATATCTTAGTGCCAGAGAAAAAGCGAGAAATTCTCGAGGGGAAATAGAGCAAGGCGGTATTTTCTTTATACAGGGACTTTGATCAAAGGCAATCAAATCCCACGCGAGTACGCACCGACTCACGGGGTGCATGGTCACGTGACACGCTCGAAGCGCTGGATTAGCTGGAGTGGCTTGTTGCGTCCGCTGCTGTACGCTCGTTAGGTGGAACACAGAGTATAACGATAACTAATTTCATACTCTATTCTAATTTTCGGATAGCTCTAATTGTTTTTTTGTTTCTCTCACCAGGGTTGCACCCATTCCAGACTTGGAGGCTTCGTGACGAAAGGCGCCATCTCGTGCAAGAGGAACGACACAGGCATTCCGTGGAGGTTACCTGCGTTGCGAGATCACAAACAACGCTTAATACACGGATACTTTTCCACATTGAGTCCGGAGCTGAAAGGTTTCGGTTTGCATACAAATGAAAGGTTTACTTTTATTCACCACTTGTCCCGAATATATCTCCCGTTTCGCGTTTTCGGTGTTCATTTGTTAAGGGGAAATCGGCAGGTGGTTTTCGGCGTTTAATATTATTGGCATATTCGGTACTTCTTTGCGTTTACAATTTTATGAGAAGATAATCTGACAATTTTTCAGTACTTCTGTAGAACCCTTATCTCTCACTTAAACGAGAGGAAAAAAAACATTAAACTCTTTTAGAAGTGCTGCCACGGATAGTAAAAAGCAGTAAAACGCGTGGAACCTATGCCTGTAACTAAATTTAAAAGAAAAAAAAAACGTAGGCAGGCCTTTAAAGAATCTAGGTACGAATAACTGCAAATCGGTAACTATATGTACTTTTGTTGTACCCAAGGTACAAACCTAGGTACTTTTACTATGCTATACCTGTGCCTGTATCTTAGGTACATTTTCCAGTAACTTGCAACTAAGTTAAGTAACCTTTTGCAGGTACCTTTTGTTCGCTCTTGCCAAATTATAGAAAGCAAGAACTGGTAAGTATTGATGCGCTGAGTTGGAGCCGAAGTGCACATTCAGTCAGAGATAACGAACATCGAGATAAATTCAGGTGGCATTTGATCGTCATAAAGAAGTAACGAAATACGTTCTTCGTTCCTTGTCAATAAAAGTGATGCGTCACCGTTCCTACATAACCTAAAAATAAAAGTAATACTTTACAGAGAACAATGAAATGTAATGCAGGTTACTTTGCCATTACTTTTTAGTGTGATAATATATCACCACGTTATTACCGCATTCACTACCATTCATTTGTGTTTTGTCTTGTTTTTGTTTCTCATTAAGTTGCGTTTTTTTTTTCTTTTTTAAAGGAGGCTTTGAAGGTTAGAAAAGTATTGTTAACCTTCAGCAAGAGCCTAGGTGTTACAAGACTTTGGTCACAAAACGTCCTAACGCCGACCAGTGCGGTCAAGAGAGTGGTGCGCGCAACGCCGCTTCAAACATATAGCGCGATGTTTCTTTCGTTAGGACCCTACAGCGAGAAATTTTATCAGTCGTTTCTGATTCCCGGGGCTCAAAAATGTGAAACGTGTGGGGGGGGCGAATCGCTTCTAAACTGCGATCGAAGATGTCAAACAAGCACTTCGAGGGGGTTCTGGTTCTAAAGGCGAATAAAGCAGCAAAATGAAAAAAAAAAAAAAGAAGAAAAAAAAACCTCCTGCTTTATTTATGAGAAACTGCGTTTTTATTTATTTATTTATTTATTTATTTTTGCGTTGACGCACTACTAAAGCAGATGCTTCGAACTTGTGCTTTCGCATCCCCTGAGTAAATAAGGAGGCCTTATTACGAATATTTTTTTATCATTTGAGAAGATACATTTGGACATGGAGTCGTTCAGAAATTTTAGTGTCGTTCAGAAATTTTAGCAGAGAAGATATATTTCATGATCATAAGTATTTGTTGTTGTTTTTTTTTTTTTTTTTTTTTTTTTTTTTGCCGAACAGGTGTGAGATGGCATGCATAAATGTGGCTTAGCGAGTCGAGTGGTATTTTTTCCCAAATTCACCATGCTTTCTAGTTTCCCGGTTTTTTCGTTTTTTTTTTTTATTCGTGGAATGTTGTTGTTTTTTTTTTTTTTTTTTTTTTATCCGACAGCGACTTTGACTTTTAACTGACCATGTTCTCTTTCTCTTCCCCTTCCTTTCTCTTTCTATCTTTCTCTCTCTCTCTAAATATATATAAAGAAAATATATCGTAGGGTGCCGAAGAGTATAAAGTAATGAAGGCGCACTTCGCAACGTTGTTGGTATTTTGAAGCATTTAGTGAGTCGACGTTGCGGCCTGTGACAAGCCTTCTTCTATACTGGTTGCCGAAATTTGTTAGTTTTCGGTTTTTACACCTGTGTCACGTCACGCGTTATATCACGTGTCAAACTGTCAAAGTCCAAAACTGTGCTAGTCGACGAAAAGCAATTACGCTCGGTCAACGCTCAAAACGTATCTCCCTACTTAAAGAAGGAAGAAAGCGCACGCGGTAAGCCAAGCAAACGCTCGGCCAACCAGAACTTAATTTTGGTTAACTCGTTTACTTATCTACTTTTTTATTATCTGTAAAGCCGAGAAATATTTTATTAGAGCGCAGCTCTTAGGCGCCCGTCTCCGGTTTGAGTGGCGTCGGCGTAACCGCTCAAGTCGCACTGTGAGACGTCGGAGTTGTCCCGCTAAATTTAGCGGGTTAGGTTTCCCGCTAAAGTTAGCCGGTAAATTTTTGCGCTAAATATAGCGGCGAAAAATCCCCGCTATATTTAGCAATACATATTCCTTGCTATATGTAACAGAAAACGTTTTCCGCTAAATTTAGAAAAATATTCCCCGCTATATTTACCGGAAACATTTTCCGGTTAAATTTAGCGGGAAATTTACGGAAACTTTTTCGCTAAAAGAGAGGGAAACAGGAGAGAAGGAGGGGTGGGTACGGATGAGAAGGAAGGGCATATAACATCCTCTCCATACCTTCTCCTCCTCTTTAAGAGCTGCGCTTTAATTTTAACATTACAGGGGATTGTAAACGTCTTCAATTTTTTTTTTTTAATTTTATGTACGGTTTCCTTATCAAAGTGTCGCGCGACGTTTTTGTTGGTCGAGGTCTTCTTTGGTGGTCGAGGCCAGCAATATTTGCCGTTTTCATGAGAATAGAAAGTATATTTTCCCTAACTCTATCTGGGGTACACTCTTCAATGAATATCGAAGAATGTACTCATGCAGAAACTACTTAGGTACTTTCTGCATGAGTAACTGTAACTGTCTCTGAGGGGCATTTTTGAAGTAACATTTACAGCCCTCAGTGTAGTACATCCTGTGACCGCAGAGATAAAGCGACTGTCTTGAAGCAGTGAGCTAGGGCTGGTTTTATACACGTTCCATGTTGAGAAAGGTTTCAAATTAGAACACCCGATAATTTCCCAGAAGCTTCTGGAATGCTACCGAAGATCAGCGAAAGGCTAAAATATAAACTATATCGACAGGGTCCAAACCCCGCGCCTCCGCAGTATCCACTTGCGCTGCCCATTCGCCACGCTCGCGGCAACGTTCTAAGATTTGTCATTGGCACACACTTCTGTAACGTCATAAAACACATAAAAAACACGATCACTCGTTTCTGGTTTCTTTCCCCATTATTTCAAAGGGGGCACACGAACATTATATAAGTTTTGTCACTCAGACGATTGCAAGCAAGGCGACTGGCCGACGCCACATCTTTGCTCGTGCGGACAAGCCCGTTCTATTGCAAGCTTGCCAAATCTGTACATGCACACATGGGGCTCCCGTCAAGGCACCATGCTTCCAACTGTCTATACCGTTAGCTGTTTTTAATTGTGAAAAAGTTATCTCAGGATTCACACTGAAGTAAAGATTAGCCATGCTTTTTAGTACCGTGCCTAACGAACTAGACAGAGTGGACGAAATATACTTTTGACATTATTACATTGACTGCCATGTTTATAGCATACCGCATGCGCTCGAGAAACTTATTTTCTAATCTCCTAAATGTGTCACGTCGTGTATAAAAAATACAATGTGTGCAAATTAAAAAGTTTGCGGAATATCCAGCTTCAGGTTTGAGTTCTAAATACGTGACTTAGAGGGACAGGCGTCAGGAAAACGATTTTTTTTATATTGAATATAGCTTAATTTAAAAAAAATATCCACAGTTTCTGATGTTTGATACCTTTTTTTTTTTATTTAGCATTACTTTTTACATAGCTTGTGTTTTATGTTTAAGATCTAATGGAGGCGAAAAAAAATCTGGGCACTTGGTGTTAGGCAATACATCTAAAAATACGGTTTAAAATAAGCTGATTTACTTATATGAAAAAGCAACGCACAAGCAGTGAGGGAGAGAAAAGAAGAGAACACAGAGCGCTGACTCCCAACTCTCAACTGATGTATTGTGAACGAAATAGGTAGACGATGCATCAAAAATTAACACACGCACCTAACGTTGTAGGCACCGTAAGAAAGGAAGGAAATAAAGTGATGCATTGATAAATTGCGCTAGAAAGGTAAGAGGGAAAAAAATATCACAAACGGAAACCCAATTTGGAAAAAGAAAAAGAAAAATAAGAGGAATCAAAGACTAGGCTGGCCCATATCAATCCTTGTAGGGGTTAGCTTGGAACAACTACCTCCTTATCACACACACGCGATTCGCCAGCGAGGAGTGGCTCACTCATCGCTGGCCAATTTTTTTTTTTATATGATAGGCATCCAAAATTTTTTTGGTTTGGTAATTTTGTGATCTGCCTATTGTTGTTGTGTTCGAAAAAGCCAGTAAGCACTTGCACTTGAAACAGTATGAGGGCACGAGGCCTCCCAGCTTGGCGTGAAGGGAATAAAAATGTTCTCGGAGTCGGTCGTTTAGACATCTTCCGGTCTATCCTATATAGCAACTACCACACGTTAGGGTATCTTGTACACGCCACCCTCCGATCAGGGAGATAACTTGTGCTTGTGACGCGTTTGGCATCCGAGCGTTGAGCGAGTGTCAATTATCGATCCCACCGTGACGAATCTGGGCCATCTGATGGAGATCAGAACAATCAGAAAATACCACTGGGTACTCATACCGGTTGGCAAATTCTTTCCAATTGTGTGAAAATTTACGCAGCTAAGGGACTATCGCCGGTCGCTTCTTTGTACGTTTGGTCTGCTCTTGTGAACACCTTTAACTTCTGTAACATAGTCCCAAAAATCTCTATAAGTACCTGTGGGGGAACCCCAGACGCCCTTAGCTGTTCAAGCTGGGAACTTCAACCATCTTTGACAGCATGTTAAGACGACTTTACCAGGGCCGAACCAAGATGGCAATGGCAATGCCTCTTTTTACCACTTCAGGATGAGAGGGGGAGCATGGCCTTGCTTTGATCAGGAAGAAAAACACCAGTAAAGGTGATTGGTCGGGACAGATGGCGAAGGTACATGAATTGCAAAGACGTATCCTTGGTTTGATCGAAAGTGAACTTGAGGCCTAAGCCGCACTTGTCGAGGGTTTCCATCACCTAATTTACAATAGTACTTTCCACATTTGATGTGGGAAGTAACATTGTAATGTTGTAGTAATACTGTAGCTCTGAATATAAGTCTACCTTATATCCGCAGTTCAGCACGGACCTATTTTCTATTCTCTACTGTTTAACGTTTTTGTAAATGATATCTCTACGGTGATAACTAATTACACAATTCTTCAATAGGCGGATCACACCGTTTTATTCTCTCGATATTCTAGTCTACCAGTGAGCGATGGAAATGCTTCCAGACAGATTTAACTAAATTATTTACTTTTTTTTCAGCTAATAAGCTTCGAAATAATGCTTTCAAAAAAAAAAAAACTCATATGCTTCCGTAGTCCACTGAAAAATGTTAAGTTTGACATTACCATTATTCGTTCAAAAACTCAGTTTTCTATCTTCTAATGTAGTCGTGTCGAATATCTGAACTTCGTAAAGTATTCGTGATATTTCATGAAACAGTCACATGTCTCACTAATGCTAAAGGTTGAAAAGTGTCTATTGTCAGATGTACCGCATCATAGTTTTTCACTGTCAACTCGAACAAACATTATGCACGGTTTAGCTGAGAGCATACCAAACTATGGCAAATTGTCTTTTTTAATTGTTCGCTTTTTTGGCATTTGAAACTTGACCGAATACAACAGTCAGTTTTTATCGAGCGCCAACATATTTGCATCACCTGAGCGGCCGCCTTTTTACGCACGCTTGCTTGAAGCTGTCATCTGGCGACAATTGTGAAATGTCTTCAAGATCGAGATTTGTCCATCCCATGCGCTCACATCTGCCCCAAGCATTCTTTTTACGAAGGTGGGAACTCACTATAGAGAACGTTTGTACAGATTTTATGCTCCGAAAAGTTTCAGTGACTTCCCAGATTCACGGCTCTCTATTTAAACAAAACGTTGAAAACATTTCTAAAAGGAATGTTCTCTGACGCGCACAGAGTGATAACTACTTTATTTTTGTCGTTAACTACTCATATGATTTGTTCTGATTGTTATCTTACCCTTTTTAAATTATGTACTTAGTGATCATTGAAAACCAACTATATAGAATTATTTTTATGTGACCAGAAACCAATGAGTATTTAGGTTTTTCATGTCAAAATGCCTTGAGTACGCGTGTGTGGCGTAGTTACACTTGATTATTTAGGTTAACCCTTTCAAACGCTATGCACGCACATGCACACACCTAAAATCCTCGTTTTTTTTTAATATACTGTATATTGAAACAATTTCAGCGTAATTCTATACTCTATGTTTGGCAGCAAAAAAAATGAAGCGAACATTTTCTTCACGAACAAATTTTGTGAAGAAAACCTTTTTTCCGGCATAGACAGCGAGCGGCGTTGAAAGGGTTGGGTTTTTCTTTTAAAAAGTAAATGTACTTGTCCGTGTAATTGTTCACTTTCTCCGGCTAGGACGTAAACTTCCCTCTGATAGTTGGCCCCTGAGTCGGAAGTGTCTAAGGTGTGGGTGTGCGTTTTCCTTTTTCTTCATTATTCTTGAAGTGCTGTGCATATGCGTACATGTGCAGTTTTTTTTTTGTTCCTCCGATGGGAGTGCGTCTTTATTCTAAAACTGAGATTGTGATTCCTGTGCGTGTGTGTCGGTGTATGTGTGCACTTGATTATGTGGGAATCCTTTTAATCGACTTATATTGCTGAGTCTGGCCACACAGGAACTTTAAGGCATTAGCCAGACCAGAAACTCCAGTCTGACTGAAGCACTCGCCAATAAATACCACTTAATATTATTATTATTCTGATGACAACTTTTATTATTTTATTCACATACCTCAGTTTAAATCACCTATAAATTGAATGGAAGTCCGTGCAGATGAAATGACGACAGCTTAATACCGCCGTTATCTAGATAGGCCAGTCATGCGCTTCCAAATAATAACAAATTCAAATGTCTTCAATTCCTTATAAAAAAAAAACAGACGTAATTTCTATGCTTCTTAACCCCCATTTTATAAATCTACTAGGATAAGCGTTTCTTTTTTTTAGTCACATAGTTTAGATACAAATGCTGCGAGTGCGAGCATGTGGCGTACGATGGAATTCTGCTCATTGCATGCCACGACGCAGCATAACTGTTGTAGAGGGCAATGCGTACTTGTTTTGTACTTTGAATGCCGGTTTTTATATTGTTTTGTATTTTACATATTGACGTTTAGCGTGTGCTTTGTTGGCCTTTTTGTCATATTTCTTGTTTTTCAAAAGTGTAATTGTAATTACTACTCCACCCGAAGTCTTTAACATTGACTATTTTTAACTGTGGAAACCTTTTTCATAACATTCGCACCGAAGCAGTGGTGAGCCCTGCATTTTAGTTCATTTCTAACAAACCGGGCAGGTTGGACAAATTACACTTTTTGATAGTATTACACTGACTGCCTGATTTGAGCTAGGGTCTAGACTTTCCGGTTTTAACCGAAAAACACCGATAAACTTCTGTCGTTTTCAAAAATATAGAAATCGGTTTTAGCAAAAAGCACCGATAGCATGTAAAATAGAAGAAAAAGAACATTATGGAACATGCCAGAAAAACCATCGGCGGCACTGATCCGAATTGCACGATAGTATCGGGCAGAAGGATGGCCGGAGCTCACCGGAGCCGCTCGACCTGACGGTGTTCATGTCAGCGTGGGCGTCGATCCAGATCAGGGCCACGTCCGAGTGGGTGGCAGCTGCGTGCCCGGTGACGGTCCCGATGGCCGAGCTGTGATCTCCACCCAGGTTCACGGTGAGCCGACCCGAGCTCACCGCTGCCGCCACAGCGTCGCGGATCTGAAAAGGAAGGGCAAAAGCTGGCTCGAATTTCTATACACGGCTTTGCATTGACGCCGAATCGGTACCTATTCTGCAGGACCTTTTTGCCACCGATTAACCTACTGCAGCATGCATTTCGCACCACCGATTTAACATTTCTCAACGAGAAAATGAGGGAATGCTCACTGGCGCAGTACGTTAACGTCACGTGCAACTTGCAAGTAATGTATACTCAAGGCCAACTTTCCGCAGAACTTACGACGAGAGGAGGAGTTCGCGTGCGCAGCTTTGAACATCATTCAAACAAGCGCTGCCATATCTTTGAGTGCATAGTCAGAAACAGTTATCCTAAAGAGCTTCGTGGCAGTGCCTCGCGGTTTTACTTGTGGCGTATAAGTCGCTAGTCCAGCCGCGATACAACAAAGAAGGCAGCAAGAGTGAAAGTGGCTTACGTTTTTGGTAGTCTTGCCAACGACGTCACTTTCAATTGCTTTGTCCACTATGAGGTCTGGATTGCCCTCTACTGCGACATCACCATAATCTTTCACCTTGTAGCCTGCGAGAAAAGACGCCAACCAAGGAAAATATCTATCAAGTTTTAAAACATGTAAAAACAGCCTTTTGCATGTATGCCTGAACATGAATCGTTCAAAACGCCATGGGCGCGAAAAGCAATCGCTTTTAATAATTAAGAATCACAATTGAAGTTTGCACAATAAGGAAATCATTTAAACATATCACAAGGCACTCGCGTCGGCTATATCCGAACCAAGTAAAATACTTCATTTGTATACATTGTTTCAGCTTAAGTCCAGACGCAACAGACGCTACGAGCTACTGGGACTAATCAATACGCGAGTCATCTACACGAGAAATAGCTGTGTCCTAGACAAGAGAAATATCTATAAGAGATGTAGTAAAATATTACTTAAGACGGCCCACAACTGATTAGAGGGTCCAGCCACAACCGTATGTCCTACACTGCTTGTTTCCCATGTCAAATGAAGTGCCCTTATAGATGGGGTTTGAACAAGCAAATAGCAGCCTGCGCAATCGGTAATCTATATCGTTTTCAGAAATATTATAAGTGAAGCTTTTCAAAGAGAAAGGTCGAAACCCCATTTTTAATTGGCTAATATTTCGTCGGTGAGCGATGCATCATCAAGACAGATTGTTTATGCCCCTGTATTAACTTTATAGGCTGGGTGATCATTCGTTACGGTCGAAGGAGCTGTTGCATTTTCTAAGAGATACACCATCGAAAATAATTACTGGATATGTAACATGTGCCTTTTATTCTAGAACAAGCCAACGCGCACATAGAGCACTGAAACCTGCTGGCAGTATTAGGGTGTCTTCATGTGCGCTTTGCTTAGGGTGGACACCCCTGGCCATTTTGTCGCACTCGTTTATTTTTCTTTTTTGTTCAGAAGCGCGTGAAAAAGCGTGTCCCTGAACGCGTTTCTGGCGCTGACTGTGCTACGGCGACATTTCGTTTTCGTCGATTTCTTTGTATTTTCCCCGTGAGCGCGTTCTCTCGGCATCTGGTACTATTGGCGACATGAGCGGTCAAAAGTGTCGCTGTGGTCGGCCCACCACAATTGGCCGAATGTTGAATATGACGTCAGCAAAGGATGTCTCATCGACGGAAATAAGAGGAATGCAAGAACTTGAATTTTGACGGTGTTGGCAGTGTTGCTTTGAAACTGCTATGATTTCAGGCTTCCACCATGCCCATTACAAACAGCATGAAACTTGTTGTTCACAAGGTAATGACGTCACGAAAGGTAACCGAACGAGGGCGTTACCGAAACATCTCGCCGCCAATAAAGGGTGGCATCCCCCTAAACAGAAGGACATTAAGGCACCCTTGGCAGTATCAGGCCTGGGTCACACTGCTCATACAGCATACAAAGCAGAGTCTGCAAAAACGAATCACCGCAATAACCATCGTTCGAATACCGCATGTCAATAGTGACCTTTGAACTCATTCACATGCGGCAATCAAAGCATAGATCTCGCGATGACTGGCGTTCGAATTTGTATGGGGAGTATTCACTGGCCGCCATATCCGTGTGCGCTGCTGCTGAGCGCGTGCTGACGGCGAGCTTCAACAGTCCTTTTGGAGTGTGCATTTAGCACCATCAAGGTTGCCGGTCTTAGCAGGCTATTAATCGGAGCTCGTTCTGAGCATGCGCTCTAAACAGCACCCACAAATATGGCGTCCAGTGAATACCTCCTACATATGCTGACTGTCTTTTGTACAATGCATGAGAAGATTGACCCCGGCTTTATTCATTCCCCAGACACTTGGGCATCCCTGTCTCGGCGCTTCTCTGCTAAATTCACTAAAATTGAAATGTAAACACAACAACAGCAAGCATTTCAATGTTACCCGGGAATATTTTAGACGACAGACATAAAATATTAAGGAGTAATTAAATTTTCGGAGGCGCATACGTTTTATTCAACGACTCAACAAAGCTTTTTGTTTTTGCATTAAAACTTATAGATTGCCTTAATGTGCAAAGGAAAAAAAGTACCAGACTGGATAAAAAAAAAAAACATGCCATAAAATGAATTTACAAGAAAAAAAAAAGCTATATTTACGGCGCAAACCGATTTCGTAGTTCGCGCCCGCCGGAACCTGCGAAAAAGTGGCAACTAGCAGTCACGTGACTGGCCACTATAGCCTCGTGGTGCTTACGCTCTTTCGGAAACTTCCTATGGGCTCTAGAAGTTACTTATTAATCTTGGTGTTTTTGTTGCAGTTTTTTTACCAGAATATTTTGATGTTCGAAAAACAACAAGTATAAGAAAATGGTAACTTCCATTCAGACTCAGATACGACTCGAGCGGGAGCTGCGACCCGCCGGTACCGCTGTCCGCAGGCACATTGTTGGCCTCGGAGCTTCCGCTAAGAGGTTCGCTTGTCTTCGAGGCGTGTCCTCGTAGGGGCGAAGCCCTAGCTGCCTGATACGGTCGAGAAGTCTACGCTTCAACTCTGAGTCCATCGCAAAAAACGCAGACTACCACTGCTACCAACCCCTCACCAGCACAAAAACCCAAGAATACAGCGCGCGCCGAAGTTGAGCGCTCGAGGCTTGCGTACGTTTTTCAGACGAGCAGCCAAGCCATTCCGAGCGGCTTACATCTCCTCCACGCGGAGCGCACAGGCGCGAGAGAAAAAATGTGGAAAGGAGGACCGTTACACCTTGCTTGAAAAATAATCGTCTCGCACCGCAAATATAACGGGCTGAAGTTGAGCTAGTTGGTACAGGTACATTGATGCAAAATTAAACGTCAGGTGGAACGTTAGGGACAGAAACTCACAAAGAAACAGACATACACACCGCTGACTATCAACTCAACTGTACCTTTATACTTTTGCATAATAGACCATTTGCAGTCTCTCCCAAGCGCCCCGGCGCGCGCGCGAGGAATCTTGGGATCGGTGTTCTGTCGGCCCCCGTCGTCTGGCTGCTCTCCGTTGGAATCGCATCACCTCGCCCTAGACATACTTTTCATCTTCGTTGTTTATACTTAATAATCCTCTTTTTTATCTACTCCAGTGTATTTTTCTTGTTCATAAGTGTATCTATTTCGTTCAGCGCTTTGTATTTCTTCTGTATATTACGTGTTTTTGTGCATATTCCATCGTTTTCGACGCGGCCGTCGACGGACACCACGCCGCTTCGTTCGCCGCTCCCGGGGTGAGTACTGACTGTTGCCGTTACGCTCTATCCCGCTCCTAGGCCGTTCATTTAACTCGTGTGCGGTCGCGAGAGAGCAGTTTCGAACATCACTACAAATGTCACCGCTGTAAGCAGAGAAATAAAGTAGTCATCACGAAGCGAAGGCCGACATGCCTTCGCTTCGTGATGCGCTCGCCCTGTGAAATGTGAGCGTGGGATATCGAGTACTGCTTGCGTGCTCAACATTCGGGACGGTGCTTTGTCGTTGCGATCTTTTTGCCCTTCGGACGCTTGCGAAGCTGTACCAGCGGTCGGCGTGCCTCGGCAGCGCTCGTCAACAACCGTCCGCGCAGCATCACATCCTTCGCGTTCGGTTCTTCGTCGCGGCGGGAGAAGGGGTTCTGACTGCGTTTTATGCATAGTATGGGGGAGATTCCATTGTTTATCGAAATTACAGTTCAGCTAGCGCGCTCACTGTGGTGAGGCAAGATTGCCCCTGCGAACCGCGCTAACACAGCGTCCCGCGAGTGCATATCTTTATTGATCATCCCGTTTTCACGCAAGCGCGTGCATATGAAATGCTAGACACTTTTTAGTGGCTCTGCGAACTGCTTCTTTTGGACGAACACTGACGCATTGAAAGCTGGAGTGTCTTTGCCACTCCTGTACAACACTTCACGGTCGTGCCAGCAGCTTTATGCTGCTGGCACGAAACGGATTATGGTCAAAACGCGTTCTTCGTATTCAGAGCTGCACTATATCATGGACACTGACAGGGCAGCAGCAACAAGCAGCTCAGTGACACTGGAGATGCTTGTCCCCAATGCCAGTGCGTGGCTTGCTTTCAGAATGCTCCTTCGACTGTGTAATGTTCGAAAGTGCACAAGAAGTTGTAGATTACAAAAGCTGGCATGTTTGCCTAATAGCAAACGCTCTTTTTTTAGCACAAAGTTTACAGCAGGCTTTTTTTGAGGGGTTGTTACCCTAGATGAACTCTTACTTCGCAAGTTTAGGTTAATTCTGTCAAAACAACACCAAACCCATTAAAAAACTGTGTTGGTCAAATTTCCGTCCTCCTTTTAAAACGCTGACTGAGCTGCCTTTTTTTCAGGGAAGGCTATGGCGACACGGGATGTACCAGAGCCGCAAGAGCTACCACTTCCAGCAGGACCTTGGACCAAGCAGCTGAAGGACTTTCCTTCCGCATTCTCGGAAAGCCACATCCAAGGGCATGGCCAAGCAGCTGGAGCACAGAAGCACACAAGTTCTGGCTACAAAATGTTCAAGGCCCACAAAGTGCAGAACATCTTCCTCCACACCACAAGTGCATCAGAGACAATTGTCAAGGCTAACGTGGAGGCTTCCATGACCCTTACGAAGCGATACGCAGTGCATGCTGTGCTCTGCCAAGATGGGCAGGTCAGCAAGGCTTCCTGTTCCTGCAAGGCTGGACAAGGCGGTGTGTGCAAGCATGTGGCAGCACTGCTTTGGCACATGCTAGACCTGATAAGGGAGGGAAGGTCCTACATCCCGGATGCTCTGGCCTGCACTGAGGGAGCAAGGCAGTGGGGCCCATCTTCAAAGAGAGGTGCAAGTACGGTGTCGTTCAACGAACTAGAATTCGTCAAGCACGACTCTAGCAACAAGGCGAAGAGTGCGAGAAAAACCACGGAAGTGCATGTGGACGTGGCGCAGGCAACCGTCAAGAGGCTGCATACAGATTTCATTGAGAAGGGAATATTCCCAATGTTTGCGGACGTGATGGAAGAAGCTGCCTTCACACCCTTGCCAAGGAAGGTTCAGGAGCACTCGAACACGGATGATGGGGCCTCTGCAGCACGGATCAGCTTGCCCATAAAAG